CTCCCCCAATCTCATTCCTCTCTCTCTCTATCTCTCTCCCCAAAATCTCCCCAAATATTCTCCTATCTCATGTCACGCCTCTTTCTCTATCTCTCTCCCTTTGATTCCCTATTCATGCCAAATCTCCCCTCTTTCTATTGTCGTTGCATTCCCCTTTCTCTCTTTCTGCTACTGCTCAACCATTACCAACAGAGTCACAATCCAGCAAGGTAATTTATCTCTCCCTTTCCCTTTCCCTCTCTCTCTCTCTATGTATGTGTGTGTGTTCTTTCAATGCTGCCCAACCCAACATCACCAACCCCTACCTCTCCCTCTTCTCTTCGGCACTGTCGAGCCCTCTTTCCCGAACCACACCAATAGTTCACCAAAATCCACCATAGCCCAACAACTTTTTTTGCCTCTCTCTATCCCTCTCTTTACCTTTCTTTCGCTGTTCTTTTGGCCCTGCCCAACCCTTGATATCCAACTGATGTCTCCCCCTCTTTTTTTTGACAATGGCTAGGATTTTGGACTGGTTTTTTCAAAGATAAGACACTAAGCATGGCCTAGGCGAAGTCTCTTCCCACCCAATCTAAGGTTGAGACGGCACGTGGTTGAAACATAGAGAAATATATTAGTACTAGTTATTGCTCATGCCTGAAGGTACTATATAACACAAAGGAAAAATCGCAAGCAATTGCCCAGATTAAAAGAGAATGACCTAAATAATATCCATGTTGATATCTTGCATTTGAAATGTGCTTCATGCCAATATTATAAAACAAATTATTTCTGAAGTTCTAGTTAGGAGAAATTTGGTGTCTTACCCCTTTTCCGGTCTAATATACAAAGGTTTCAAGAAAAATAAAAGGAAAACATTTTTAGGGTGGGATCTGGTCACAACTAATTCCGTTCATTTTTTCCGCAATATTGCAATATTTATCTTTGGAGTGTGCAACTCTCATTTTTTTAGGGTGTTTGCATTTGAAATAAAAGTCGAGTGTGTAAGGTGATCTACCCTTCCTTGACTGTCGAATATTGCATGATTTAAGGAGTCTTGGTTCTCCTTCATTGGTAGTCGAAATTTATGCACAATTAGAGAATACCACCTTCCTTATCCAACATAAATGCGAAATTTCCTCCCTAAAATGTCTCCTTATATGTTGCAACCAAAAACAACTTTGATTTTCTCATAATGTGCCCACAATCGGTAACCAGCTTTCCTTTGATTTTTCTCAATATCAATAGTTCCCCATTTTCTCGTTTACGCATGTGTAAATCAACTTACTCACTTGCAACCTCTATCTCGGTCGCCAATGAAAACGAAGATATGTCAACTAAAAGGATTAAATACTGAAAAAAAAGAGAGAACAGGCAAAGAAAAATGAATGAGCAATTATTATCGGATATGAAACTGATGAACTAAATTTACCTCTGTTCAACCTCCCAACTCTTCAACCCAAAACCATCATAGAATCTAAACTTGTCACCATCACCACCGCCATTCCAACCCCTACATAGAATTTTTAAATTAAAATTTGAGAAATTCTATTTTCCTAAAAGATGCTTTCAAATGCAGCCCCTAGTTTAATTCAAGTTATTTTTTAAGTTTAGACTTTTTGGTTTGCAGGAAGAGGTCAACAAGTCAACATTTCAAATAATTGAAATTATAAATAAACACCATGACACTCAAATGGATCAAACTCAAAAGTTTTTATATAAACCAGTGTGAAACATTGAAATTTCATACACCAAAATCAAAAAAATGGTAGAAAATCCCACTTTTTTCCTCATCTTCCTCTCTCACACCGCCAACATCTACACAACCCATTCATAGCCATAACTGCATCACACCACTGAATAATTGCATCACACCACTGAATCCAGCATTTCGACCAAAAATTAAAAAAAAAATAACATTAACCTAAAGATCAAAAAATGTAAGAAAAATTAACCAAATAAGACCAAATTTGATCAACCAAATCAAATCAAACCACTGCCATTGAACCACCCAATTCCACCAAAATAAAACATTATCCATTGAAATAAAAAATTTAGAAAATTAAAAAGAAAACAAAAATAAACAAAAATTGAGGGAGAAATCAACCATAATGAATTGATTGGATTGTGTAATCCTTGATGGTCGGTACCTGTGTTAGATCCCTGTACAAAAAATCAAAAAAATTACCAACAAAATCTAATGATGCTCACATTTCATTAAGGCAGAATTGATATATGTGGAAATCAAGGATATGATTGACAGGGTTATGCTAGTGGTTTTGTTAGTGGTTGATGGGTGGCCATGGTCGAGGGGTTGAATGTTGTTCGATGGGTGGTATCATTTGGCCCTAGTTTTCATAGCCCATGTGAAAGCAGGACAAAAAGGGTTCTATGGTGGTCTTTAAGGAATTTTGTCGAACACGTGGTGTCTATGATGGACGGTAAGTGTGTGTGAGAGAGATAGAGTGGGGCTACAGTGTGGGGATCCTGGGTGGTGGCATGGGTGGGGGCGGAGTCGATGGCATGGAGGTGGGTGGGGCTGGAACCATAGACAGACAGAAACAAAGAGCTGGGGAAGAAGATAGAGAAACGGAGAGAGAGGGAGATGAAGAGTACCTCATTGGTGGTTCTGGTGGGTCACATTGGTGGTTCGTCCTTGGATGCTCCGACTGACGGAAAGGAGGTGGCTATGGCTGTGGCGGTGGTGCTATTAGTTGGTGGTAAAGAGAGAGAGAAACCTAATTATTAGGGCTAATTACACCAAAAAAGGAAGCATATTTCTTGATTACAGAAGTGAAAAAAGGAAAAAAAGGAAAAACAGATAGAAATCAGAGGAGATATAATCTGAGAGAAAGAGAAGGAAACCAGACACGAAGAAAAAATGTATAGAAAGGAAAGAGCCAAAGAAGCAGAAGAAGAAAAAGGAACAGAAGAGGGAAGTACTTGGTTGGTCGATCATCTTCTCAAGCTTGATTTCTTAATTATAGAAGTGAGAGAGAAAGAGAGAGGCGCGAGGGATAAAGGCATCAGTCAAAAAATGTTGGTGGGCGGAAAAAAAAAATTTAATACTCACTGTAGATCGTTAGATCAAAATTTTTGAAATGATCTGAACCGTCTTTTATGTTGAGATTACATTATCTATTAGATGTGTTTATGTTTTGTCTCAAAACGATCTGGAGCTCTCTTTATCTCTAAAATTTAAAATCAACTCTATTTTATTATATAAATAATAAGGGACAAGACAATTCAAATCTTTCAAGGCATAAACTTAACTCAAAACTTAATTCAAATCCTGAATTTTAACCCAATGGTTAAGATCAATCATGAATTTTTTTCACGTCCAAACCATCTTCCACTTTTACTTTCCTAATCATGCCCAATCTCCCCTTATATCACGCTCCTCTCTCTCCCTCCAAATATTCCCCAATCTTTTGTGTCTCTCTCTATTTCTCTCTCCTCTACTTTCCTAATCAAACCCAATCTACCCTTATCTCACGCCTCTCTCTCCTAGCAAATCTCCCCCAAATATTCCCCAATCACATGTCTCTCTTTTCCCTCTTTTGTCCTTAATCATACCCAATCTCCCCTATGCTTACGCCTCTCTCTCTCTCTCTCTCTTTAAATCTCTCCCAAATATTACCCAATCTCATGTCATGCCTCTCTCTCTATCTCTCTCCCCTCTGTTTCCCTAATTATGCTCAAATCTCCCCTTTTTCTCTCATCGTTGCTTCCCCTCTTCTCTTTGTGTCGTTGCCCAACCACTACCAGCAGAGTCATAGCCAAGCCAAAGCCTCCGCTAGGTAATTTTATCTCCCTCCCTCTCCCCCCCTCTCTCTCTCTCTCTTTCTCTCTTGAGTTGCCCAACCCTCCATCACCAACTATTGTCTCCCCCTCTTTTCTTTGGTGCTGCTGAGCCCTCCATCCCAAACCCATAGTAGTAGTTCACCGAAACCCACCATAGCACACCAATACTTTTTGCATCCCTTTCTCTATACTTTCGGCACTGCCCAGTTGCTTGACTTTGAAAATGGTACACCCATGGGCAAATGGCCAACAGTACTAATAACTCGGTAGTCCGAGATGGATCCTTAGGGAATTGGTTTGGATGCAAAGAAGGAAAAAATAAATAACAATCAAAGAGAGTTGAGTATTTGTAAACAAAACATATTTAAAGGAATTTGTTATAGAAAAAGTTATTCTCTAGTTTCGGGATTAGGTATCAGTCATGTAAATCAAATATCTTATTCATGCAATTATATTGTAATTATCTTAGTTGAATTCCAAAGTTAGTGTAATCAACCGGAAAATATAACTATGAAAAACAATTTTTGATTGAAAAGAAAATTAGAATTTAAGAACTAATATTGTAGAGTCGCAAGGAATTATGAGTATTAATCATACCAAAAAGTCAATCTTGTTAATAATTAATCAAATAAGTTTAGAGAGTACATTACCTTAATAAAAGTCATTCATTCAATCGAGAAATATTTGAAAAGATAAATTATTCAAGAACAAGAAAAATATAATTGCTTTCATAAAATATTCAACGTACAATCATGAAAACCATACCCTAGCTATAGAATAAAAAAAGAATTACTTATTCACCATAAGTTATTTCTTCAATAAAGTATAAAGAAGTCTAAGAAGAGGTGTCTAGGCAGAGATTAGCCCCCCTAATAACTATACACAACCCAAAAAAAAAGCAAACTCGAAATAAAAATTGCTAAAGACTTCTACTAGGGCTAAATGACTTTGGAGGCACGTTCGAATGGCTAGCATGCATTCGAATGGTGAATGGTCATTGAAATGGTGAAAACTCACCGGAAACTAAACTTGGCCTGTGCTTTCAAACGGCCCCTCATCGTTTGAGCAGTGGGACTCCATATCGTATCTTGCGTTCCAACGAACCATCTCCATTTGAAAAGTACAAACTCTCAGGAATTTCTCCAATTTTCTTCATTGCTCCTTGAATTCGAACGGCCTTGAACCATTAAAACGGTGCTACTTCATCTGGCATTCTCTGACTTGCAATCTTTTATTACACTTCAACCCCCTTGACTTTACTTTATTCTCCACTTAGCTAGTCATTTCGTCAAATCACTTCTTTTACCTGCAAAATTACCAAAATAATATAAATCACATAAGAAATATTATATCAAAGAATAATTAATATAATAACTCAAAAACATTGCAATTCGTCATAATACTTTTAATGATGAATCACCAGTCCTCCATCACCAACCGCTGCCTCCCCCTCTTCTTTTCAGCACTACCTTACCCTCCATTATCAACCGTTGTCTCCTCCTCTTCTCCTTGGCACTCTCCAACCCTTAATTTGTTTTTTCGGGATCCAAAAAACCCTATGTCTTGCTTGATTTGTGCTTCAAATATGTTAATTTACTATAAATACCACTTATGTTTTCTTTTATAGATTATCCACGATGGATTTTACCGGACCAAGCATGTGGAGCATAAAAGATCAGATATTTTTTCAATTTTTGTTTACTAGAATTCTATGTCGTTGTGTACATATTAGTGGAGTCATACTGTTGGTGTATAGCTGCATATCAACTAAGCTTGAAACTTCACCTCGACACTGAGTTACGTTGGATATCCTATTGGGAATGTAGAGCTTCTTATGGGAAAATATTGGCTGAGAATTGAGTTAACGGAAGGTTGTCATAGTTGTTGAGTAGAACATGCTGGCTTGTATGATTGTGTTTGTGTTTGTTTGATTAAGGGTACTGGTGAATTTATAGACATGCATTTGTTGGTCTGTGATACCTAATTACCATGAGGTTTCTATGTGTTGCTTCTTCTTTTTTTTTTTTTGTGCATTTTGTCTGATCTTTATCTTTATTTTTGTTGTTGTTTTATTTACATCTAGACATTAAAGTAATGCAATATTGTTGGCTGTCGCACTTTTTGTGACCGTTTCAACCTAAGCCTAATAAATGTAATGCAGGAAAGAAAATGAAAACAAAAGAAACTTGGTGTTATTTCCTATGTAGTTGACCAAAGTTTATGTTTATGTTTCAATTCTATGGTTTTAATGATTATAGATCTGTTTGTATGGTAGTAATAATTATGTCCGAAGCATTCATCGTTGTACCTAGAGTTTTTATTGGTATGGTGATATGGGAAGTGTAATGACGGAATGAATATTTAAATTTCAGAATTACATACTGATGGACATTGTTTTTCTTGATGTTCTGTCCTTTTTTTGTTTTTCCATTTGTATTGACTAGAGTATTTGATTTGGTGCAATCGTCATTCCCCACTAATAGAAGTCAGAAAAAGGGCTTGGGGTGATAGGATTTAAGACAAGTTAGGACGAACAAGTGAAGTCGTTAAATATAACAAGTCTAGGAGCTGAAGGAAGTGAAAATTGGTTCGATCACCAAAAGAGAAAGATTAAGAAAGTCTTAATTTAATATCGCCACAAAAAAATGATCAATTTGTGACTAGTTTTCATGCAAGTCACTTTTGACTTTTAGTGACACTTATAGCAGGGACTCGGTGACGATAAAAAAAAGTTGCCACTAAATATTTTTAGTGGCAATTTTTCACGCTATTAAACACTATTTCTTGTAGTGATTTAAAGATGCCAATCAAGAAGCTCTACATGCTTTATTGAAATGGCAACTTAGGCAGTGTTATTCAGAATTAGACTAGACCGGCTGATCCGATTCTAGAATTAGACCGCTTAAGTATTCAACCATTAAAAACTCAATTAAAATGGACAAATTTTTATCAAAACCGGAGTAAACCGGACGGTTCAACCAATCCGGTCATCTTTTGCTTTGGTTCACCTTTTGCTTCGGTTCAACCAATCCGGTGTAAAATGTTTAAACTAAGAGTAATACTAGATGAACTTAAAACCTAGACTTGATAATCTTAACTATTGAATATGTAATGGGTCTCAATAAATGTTGGGATCCACAGTGAAATCAATGGTTGAGATTATCAAGTCTAGTTTTTAAGTCTACTTTTTAAGTCCACGTAACATTGCTCTTAAACTAATGTGCTAACTGGCAAAAAAATAGAGCTAGTTGGCTTAAGGCTGTCAAGCCAACGCTTTGGTTCACCTTTTATAGAGGTGATGATGCACAAAAATGGTTTTGCACACCACCTGTCAAGTGTAGGTAATAAATGCAGTGAAATCAATGAAAAAATTAAAGAAGACACAATTTATAGTATTTCGGTCACTTCGACCTACGTCCACTCTTCAATGGCTTCAGTTGCCGGGTATTTTATTAACTTAGAGGTATGGAGAATAGAGATACAAGCTTTGAGAGAATGGAGAATTAAAGAAAAAAGTGGTCTCCGGTCGTCGGTCTGTCCTCTGTAAGTGTTGGTGGGGCGTGACCTTCCTCCCTCATCTCCTCCAGATTAGGGCTACTTTATAGCAGCTAAGAGATCATTCTTGTGGAGATCATGACTTATCCTCAAGGCTACTTTATCGCAGCTAAGAGATCATTTTGGTGGAGATCATGACTTATCCTCAATGCTACTTTATCGCCGCTAAGAGATCATTCTGGTGGAGATCATGACCTATCCTCAACAGAAGGAGGAGGTTGGGGAGCTCTTCATGAAACGTGGTCAAAGCTTGGACCGTTTCCTTCGGTGGTGCAGATAAGCTTCTCATGCTCTCCTCTTGATGACGTGCTAAG